TGACAAGTTCTTTTTCTCCTTTGTACGCTTAATAGACATTGAAGTTAAGCTAATTAAAATTCAAGCATTCACAATTTTGCTTACCGATCTGAACCCGCACCGTATCCCATATTTCAGCTTTAGTATGAATTTTTTATTAACCCTCATTGGCTTTAATTTTGATAAAAATAGTTGAAGCTTTCCAAGGAAGTATTATTTTAAAAATACCTTCTTTATAGTCTTTCCATTTGTCGATGTATTCATAATCTTGTTTTGCTATCTTTTTCACTGAAAATACAGAAAGGCGACAATTAATTTGATGAAGTTATATACATTCATGGACACGTAGTTGTATTACTTTGTCCAGAGATTTCTGAATTTCTTTTCTCCACCATCCGGGAATTCCTTGGTTTAGTAGAAAATTCCGCGGATATCTCAACCTTCTTACATCATTGATGTCTTATGATCCTCTGTCCAAATATTCTTCAGAGAATGTTTTCGCTAACTTTGATTATCATCCTCGAATATCAACGATTCTTTCATTGTTGTTGCTATTACAAGATTGAAGATTATCCAAATGTTTTCAGCCGTCACCTTCAAGTTTTTAGGCACAAACTTACACATTTATCTACACATAAAAATCAATTGTTGTTTGTTGGTAACGGAATCAGTTGGAAACGGCTGGACCGATTTGCATAATTTTTTTTACAAACGTTCGTCATACCCCGAGTTAGGTTGTTAAAGAAAAAAATATTGACCACGACTCCTTTTACGCTCACTATTACGATTTATCTAAAATCTTTATATTTGCCAAAATAGTGATGATATCGGTTTGAGAATTATTACACGAGATGCTGTTGGCTTTCCATCCAACCCTAAGTACTTATTTAGGGGCTGAGGAACGCGCCTACTTTTAAATCTATCTCTCTATATGTAAAAGAAAGTTGTGTTAGTTACTACTCTTATAACATAAAGACCGCCGGTCTGATCCAAAAATATCGCGTAAAAATATGAAATTTGAACATTTTCATTTTGACTTTTAAAATGTACAATAGTAATGTCTTATATTGCATATTTTTTTCATTTTGATTTACTATTTTCAAATGTACATTTGTAGTGTTTTTTTTTTTTTTTTGAATTCTAATATGATGTGTAGGTTTTTTTTGGTAGTTTAAAGGCACAACGGATAAAACTGTTATTTATAGATTTTATGTATTTATTCTTAATACCCAATAAATACATAAAATCTATAAATAACAATTTTATCCGTTGTCGCTTTATATGAAAATTCTAAAATCGGGAAAAATCGACAATTTTTCAATGGAATCGAATTTCAAAATAATAGTACATTCTACCGACAAACTTCGTAAGGACCTTTAAAAATTTGCCGACTACAAAGAACGCAAAATAGAAATTCAACCTAAACATTCAAGATACCTTTAATCGCATTGGCAGGCATGATATGGATCATAACCCCTGATAACGGAACAACCCGATTTCAAGTATATTCTACATTTTAACCATATTTTTCGTACTAATTTTTGCTTATGTTGATAATTTAAATAAATTTTTATTATTCGGAAAAGTGTGCATCTTAGTCTTGAGGCTACCTGGGGTAGAAAATCATCTTACAGATAATTATCCTCATTGGAATTTATTTCAATGTTTATTTCCAGTTTCCCAACCAATGTGTGGTCAGAAAAGAAAATTTTGTATTCTATTGAATTTGTAATCCCCAAGAGAATATTGGTTGGGAACGTAGATTTGGGATGTACGTCTATATGAAATAAACTCCGAAATGTCAATCTGGGACTCATTCAGTCGGAAATTGTGGCAGAAACATGAAAAAAATACGAAATTATAAAGCAACTTTATTGGATCTCCACCGCACAATTTAAATGACAAACAATTAATGTCCATCTTACGGTAATCGGAGCAAAAGAGTATTTTTTTGGCTATTCTGACAACATTCTGCCTTCAAGTATGAGGTAGACAAAACTGAATACCATGCAGTCAATTTATAGCTCATTTGAATGCTTTTTACAATATCAACAATTGAGCTGAATTTTCACAGGGGGCTATTATAGATGTTTTTATCATATAGGTATTTAACACTCAAATTAAAGCCTATAGCTGAAAAATAAGATCAGGCTATTCAAAACATCTAAAACCGACCGTAATTATAATTTTTGCCATGAATATTAATTTATATTTAGTCATGGAGTCATTACTCATAATCAAGTCATTACTTATAATAAAAATTGTGCCGCCTACAAAAGTCAGATCTGTGATTTATTATGCTTTAAAGACTAAAAGTACGGGCCGGCAACGCGGACCGGGCCAGCTAATATTTGTAATAATTTTGAAAACATATTTTTCGTTTTGTCATTTCGAAAAATATTTATTTTTAATAAAATGACAAAATAATCAAGCAGTGACTACAGTCGTTCAGGGTGACCATGTCATACCCTACATCACTGTAATTGATGGTAAATTCTCTGTAGATGTGATACCCTTAAAATACGATGAACGGATTCCTCAATATATCTATAAAACAGGAAAATGTTTGTATGTTTGTTTGTAATTTATCGACTCGAAAACCGCTGAAAAGATTTTCTTGAAAATATATATATAAATTTATCTGAATCGGAAGTACGTCCTAAAAATTTAGATTTTTTATGCACATATGTACTGATCCACTACAGATGCAGTCTCCAGATTTGGAATGCGTAATGGAAATTGGGACAAAAATAATTCTGCCAAATTATATTGAAATCGGTTCAGATTTGGAAATAGCTCCCATGTATATTTTCGGCCGATTTCATGTATTTGATGCACCAAACACGCTATGTATCTCTAATGTCAATGAAATTTGGAATGTGTAACGGAATTTGAAACTCATATACATTTTTTGAAGTTTGGGTATAGCTCCTATATATATCTATATCTATATCTATAGAAGAGGAAAATGATTGTATTGTATGTCGAAAACCGCTGAACAGATTTTCCTGACAATTTCCAAGTATACGACAACATCGGCTGAAAGTAACATAGGGTATATACATTTGGAACTGGAGATATAGCATCAGAATCGGAAGTGTCTATCTTCGCCGATTATTTGATGCACCAAACACGCTATATATCTCTAATGTCACAAAATGTAATAAAAAATATTCACATTTGTATTGGTCTTTTAATGCGATTTTTTCATATTTCATTCTTTCATCAAAATCTGTCCTGTCGTAGTAACTAACATCAATTTCTTTTATATATAGATTCCATATTATATATATCCGATATTTTGGCTATCAGCATCAATGTATATGTCAAGAGTAACCTTAAGGTATGTTTGGGATTTCGATCTGTCTTCAACTCATACCCCATGCAAGATTCCACATGGTGTCCTATGTAGCAACTTCAAAGTCAGTCGTAAAGTAACTTTTTCGGTTTCTGAGGTTAAAAATATTTGGGACACATTTTCTATCAAAGTCCGTTGATCAATGCAACCAATTTAGTCAAATTAGAACACACATTTGTATACACACACATTTATACGCACCGCTTTTACACATCACTTTTACATAACAAAATGTTACCATTGATTCCTCTAATGTGCCATTAATTCAATACATTTTGTAATTAAATTTTGTGGCGCAGTATTTTTAACCAACAAACCACAATTGCAATGCTATTAACAAATTAGTCAGAAATTGTAATTTATTAACGCTCTGTGTGGAATTTGGGGAACAATCAAATTATAAAATATTTTATGCTGGAATACACGAACATTAAACAAAGAATTTGTATGTAAATCAAATTTTAGCAATATTGATGAAATGTTGGATTTTGAAGAATGCATTAAATCTTGGAAGTATCATTAAATAGAGTATCATGACACACTTTATAACTGTGGAATCTCACCCAACATAATTGATTGAGTTTATAGAATGAAATGATTACAGCTACGGTAACTCATATTAATTCATCATCCGTTAGTAACACCTCGAAATATACATTTTAGACTCCACAAAGTCTTGATCAGCATAAAATTCTATATCGATTTAGCGATGTCCGTCCGTCTGTGGAAATCACTCTAGCTTCCGAATGAATTGAAGTAGATTGATAAAATTTTGCTCAAATATATATTATGTTTGCACGACTTTGGTATTGGAAATGGGCCATGCAGGTCCACGTTTTGGAATAGCCCCCATATGACGGTACCTCCCATATTCGGTATTTTGATGATTTTAGCGACATTATTCACTGGAATTGTTTCAAATTTAGTATTTAAAGGTTGTAGTGAATAGTACAGCCTAAGACAGAAAATTGTCTGTGCAGGTCCACGTCTTCGTAGAGCCCCCATATAACGGCACCTCCCGATATTCGGTATTTTAATGATTTTAGCAACATTTTCACCGGAAATGGATATTACAGCCTAAGACAGAAAATTGTATGTGCAGGTCCACGTCTTCGTATAGCACCCATATAACGATACCTCCCGATATTCGCTATTTTTATGATTTTATCTATATTATTACAGGTTTTTTTAAATTTCGCATTTGAATATTGTAATGGCTTATGACAAATGTTACCTATGTAGGTCCATGTCGTCGTATAGACCCTAATATACATTACATTCGGTATTTTTAAGATTTTAACAGAATTTTTAACGGATTTTATTATTTCTGAAAGTGCCAAATTCGTTCCAAATGGTGGAGAGTATTCAAAGTTCGGCCCGAGTGAACCTACTGCTTGAAGGAAAAGGCTAAAAATTTCAAAAAAAATTTCAGATTTTTTACACCTTATAATTTTTTAAAGTTTGTTTTTACCGTCGTATAATCATATATAAGTTAATGCTAAATATAATATCAAAGACCCACATGCATTAATTCATCCGTAGTAATAAAATTCAATCTTTGAATTTGTATCTTGAAATAATAAAAATTTAAAATCTAGAAACCATAGATATTTCTGTTTTGCAAAATTATTTTTTGTTTTTAATTGCGAACAACTGACTCAATTCAAAACAGTTCGTCCAAATATCCTAGAAAATAATTTAAAAAAAAATTGTGTACAGAGAACTCCGAACGAAAAATTAAGGATGACGCTGTCTGGACATTTAAAAAGTTACCTAAACACTCATTAATAAGTCAAAGGATATTGGCCGCACAATGAAATTTTGAAAAGGATGAGACCGGATATATTATTAACCCTTTCTTTATTATTTTTGCTTGAAATTTCTATGACAATTTATTTATAAGACAACATGCAAGAATTTTAGCATGCATTGTCTACATTTTCTGCATACAGAACGAACTAACCAGAATTTGTTTTTTCAAAGGATCCATATAAAACTAATATGTCAAACAATTTTTGTAAAAGCAACTTTTAGACAATTAAATACGTTTTATTTTACAAATAATCAATTTTCTTCCTCAACAGATTTTATCCGCTCCTAAATAATTTTGGTCAAGATTCTCAAAGTCCAATCTACAAGCCCTTGATGTTATGGATATTAGAAACTGTAAGTATTCAATGAAATATACGTATCTTTATTACATTTAACAGGATGAGTTGAATGGTCAAACCATCTTGAATATTAAATGTATTACAACACGTTGTTAATTACATTTTTTCTAATTTTGAAAAGGAAGTACTATTTTTTATATGCTTCAAGCCATTTGTTTATTTTCCGATTAATATCTCATAATTTATAATCGCGATTTTTAAATCTGGAAATATTAGAAATGTATTGGTCTTTGAATTGTGTGTGTAATATATTATTCTCTTGGTTAAATTTTTCTAGATTACATTCTTTCGGTAAAAAATCCCCTAGCCCTGAGCACAGTGTATAAAACAATTAAACCCCATTTCCTTTCTTTTGGTAATTTTGAGTTTCTAATAATAGATTCGCTTCACCAATTCTGGAAGATTTACTCATTACTTAGATTTCTGTAATAATCGTTATGGAATTTCAGAGGCACACACATATTAGACTGCTTAGTTGAAATGACATTTGAAGTTTTTTCAACTTGTGGATTTTCGGTAAATTTTTGTCTGTTCCTAGGAGCGCTACCGCTTAAATTAGAGTGGTTTTTAATCTTTATATAAATTCGAAAGAGTTTTTCGGAGGTTATTATAATGACACTTACGAACAACTATATATAAACAAATTTAGTAATACATCAATCAAGCCATTAGTAGTGTAAATGCTTATAAGACAACGTAAAAATGTTTAAGACTTGTCTCATTATACCCTCAGCCATATGGCTACAGAGGGTATATATAACTTGATACGGCAAAAAGTGCCTCATAGAAATAACGGTTTTAGAATCCTAGATCCCTTTAGACCAAATCTTTTTTTGCGCATTTAGAGTCGATCCAAGGGTGTCCATCCGTCTGTCTGTCTGCTTGGCTGGTGCGCACGATCACTCTCGAATGGAGTATCCGATTTGGTTCAAACTTAGTACATCGTAATATTATTGTCAAACTTAGATCTAGTTCGGGGATGGGCAATATCGGAACACTCCTTCTGGTACCTCCCCCACAAAGGGTAAACAGTTTTAATATCCATGAAGCTCCTTAGACGCAAAGTTGCCATTTTAATCTATTCAGACTTGGCACATCTCAATATTTTTATATATACAAGATCTTTTATAAAGACGCCAGAGATGGGGCCATTCCTCCTATACTTCCCCCACAAAGGGTCAAAGTTTTGAATAACCAAAACGATCATAAATCCGAAATAAGCATCCAGTTCTATTTATAATTCACACATCCCATTATTACTACTAACACATACTCTGCTGTGAAGTTGCTTTGAAATTTGAACCCTCCCTCCACCATTTGGAACGAATTTGGAAATTTTCAAAAAATAAAATCTTAAAAAATTCTATTTAAATTTTAAAAATACCGAATATAGCCGTTTTATTGGGATCTATACAACGTAGACATACATTGCCATTGTTTGTCATAAGCCATTTCAATATGCAAATTCGAAAACTTGAAACAAACGGTGAATAATGTAGCTAAAATCATGAAAATATCGTATATAGGGGGTACCGTTATATCGGAGCTGTGCGAAGACCTGGACCAGCATAGACAATTTTCTGTCATAGACTGTAGCATCCATTACGAAGTTCAAATACGACATCTCAAACAATTTCGGTGGGTATTGTACCTAAACTCGCCAAAATACCGAATATAGGCAGGTACTGATATATTGGACCTATACCAAAACCTGGACATGCATAGAAAATTTTCTGTCACAGACTGTAGATCCCGTTGCGAATTCTAAATACGTAATTTGAAACAATTCCGCTGAATAATGACCATAAAGGTATCATTATATGGGGGCTATGCGAAGACGTGGACCTGCACAGACAATTTTCTGTCATAGGCTGTAGTATCCATGACGAACCTTATATACCAAATTTGAAACAATTCCGGTGAATAATGTCGCTAAAATCATCAAAAGACCGAATATCGGGAGGTACCGTTATATGGGGGCTATACGAAGACGTGGACCTGCGCAGTAATTTTTCAGTCTTAGGCTGTATTATCCTTCTGGAACTTCAAATATCAAATTTGAAACAATTCCGGTGAATAATGTCGCTAATATAATCAAAATACCGAATGTAGGGAAGTACAGTTATATGGGGGTTATACGAAGACGTGGACCTGCACAGAAAATTGATAGGTTGTAGCTTCCATTACGAACTTCAAATACCGAATTTGAAAAAATTCCGGTGAATAATGTCGCCATTTACGAACTTAACCTGCCTACTCTAAAAATAAACATGTGTGCAAAATTTTAGCCTTCTATCTCAATTCGTTCGAAAGAAAGCGTGATTACAACAGACAGACGGACAGATGGACAGACAGACGGACATCGCTAAATCGACTTAGAATTTTACGCTTTTATGTTAATCAATGTATATTTCGAGGTGTTATAAACGGAATAACAAACTTAATATGTCCCCCATATGTTGGTGGAGGATATAAAATATGTGCTTTTTAGAATCAATTAGAACTCTCTTTAAATATAAAGTTCAAATTCATTCTAAAAAACACATATTTTATATCCTCCACCAACATATGGGGGACATATTAAGTTTGTTATTCCGTTTATAACACCTCGAAATATACATTGCAACAATCCAATACTTATAATGATTATCTGTTAAACTCCGAAATTTCTTCGCTGTGTATTTCTCCAAGCAGTGATTTCAAGCTGTAACATTATTTAAAATTTACAAACAGATTTACGACGTGAATATACGCAAATACATTTCTAGTCATACATCATACAAATCCTCGCCATACAATACATCTTAAATTCACAAGCTTGTAAAAGCTTTGCAACACAAAACGTGATATTCAATATAAATATGCAGCTTAAGAATAAAATTCCGTTTTTCAAAAGTCATAAGCCACACACACATGTGTATAGGTGGTATTACACACACACACATGTCCTTTATATGAAGAGTTTTCCAGCGAGAGATATAAACTCGCAATTGATTTGATTGCAGTGCTGCTATTACAACTACACTCGCAAGCTTAAATGAGAGATACAACTGAAAGCTGAAATGAAAATTGCGAAAAAAAACCTAATCTGAACTTTTCCAATCAATGACTATGAGGTTTGAATATTTTTCTCTCTCATTTCACATTTCTTTCCATTCCTAGCAAATGCAAGCTTAGTTAGGTGGTAAGCAGCAAGCAATTCTACCAGCTTCACTGGCAAATGCAGGTCTGCTGCATACATGTCTGAATTACTTATGCATTCGATTCAATTGTTAACACTCCCTAAATAATGTGCCTCACTTTCATTCTGATAATTTTTCGATTTGCATAAGGGATTTTGGCAAATCGAAATATGTGTGCCCGCATATCTGTGAGATTTCTGCAAATATATGTGTAATAGATTGCTTTGCATACATATTACTGGAAGAAACTATTTTAAAAATTAATGAAAACTGAAATTGAATATGGAAACTAAATTGATGAATTCGTTTCCATTTTTCTGAAAATATACGTTGCCGATACGTGTTGCAAATGTAAGTATGTAATGTAACAAATTTCTTGTCATTGGACATTTATAATCATTTATATATTAAAAACTTAGAAGTTATTATAAAATCATGATGCAAACTAACATGTTATCTTTCAAGAATAAATCTAATTATTCACGTTTTTATTTCACCACTATGCGAAATGAACAAATTTTATTGATATCAACTAAACTTATTTTATTCTAAATGAGAGTACCTACTTAACTTGCGTGCCATTTTTGCACAAAATACAATCAATGAGATTTCATTTTAATCTCCCGCATTCCTCTAGTCACACAATCAACTTGCAATTGGTTTTGTGGTTTGCATGGACGTACTCTACCAAGAAATACACATACACCTTTGTTTGAAGGTTTTGTAATCAAACGCACCAATGATCCTCACTATTTATTAGTTAGATAAAGATTCTAACTCACTGATATTCGAACGAACAGTTAAATTTGCTTTTAGTTTGTATGTTGGAAAGGAGAAGATATTACGATGAAAAGGATTACCAACAAATTTGAGCAATTATTTTTTAATTTTAAACTTCTGATTACCCACTCATTTTCCAGGGACCTAGAAGACCATTCAGATACACATATACTTGCCAACAAGGCATATTTATAAGATCAGCGGATTCAGACCTAGGCCTTATTTTGCTGTGAAAAGCTATATCGCGAGAAATCCACCAAAATTAAAGAACAGGTAAAGAAGGGCCTAAAGACGGGCGCAACCGCTTTTGTGATACCCTACAACACTATGCATATCATTAATCATTAATGTGAAGTGGATCATATCAATTATGAACTTTTTTATTGCGAATTTTAGCCATATAGCAGTACCGGTACCGTTGTATGGGAGCCATACGATATCGTGGACCTACATAGATAATTTTCTCTCAGAGGGAAAGTACTCAGGAGGAACTCCATGTGCGGATTTTCATACAATTCTATTGAAAAATGTGGCTACAATCATCAAAATACCGTATATCTGGAGGTTCCCTTATATCTAGGATATACCATATCGTGGACCTATGTAGACAATTTTCTTCCAGGGGAACTTCTGGTGTGAATTTTCAGATAATTCCATTGAAAATTTTCGCTACAATCAACAAAATACCGAGTACGGGGAAGGAAGCTTTATTTGGGGATATACGACATCGAACTTGACCTGCTTGAATACTAAAGACTGATCTGCGCAAAATTAGAGCTTACTATCTTAATTCGTTTTGACTCTAGCGTGATTGCAACAGACGGACGCTGATCAATAATATATATACAGGGTGAGATAAAAAAACTGCAACAAAGTCATATGCCATAATTTTTACATTGTGTGTAAATTTAATTGAATGGAAGCAAAAAATGTCGGAAATAGCATCAAATTTTAGAATAAGTTTAGATTTGTTCGAATTTGGCACGAATTATGGCCTTCAAATGGCCAATGTAACCGTCGCACGCTGCCCTAA